CGATAAATGAATCATGTTGCATTATTCGTCATGTTTTTAATTTCAAGTTGGTTTCGATACTTGATAACGAATACATATTGCGACGCGACTTTCGCTCGCCGTCGGTCCACGCGCCTCGGTCGTTCACACTCGCACCAAAGAGTTGGGCGCCAGGTGCAGCGGGCTGCACCGTTCACCAACACGAAAAGATACACCACCCAAGGCCGAGACACGCGAATTCGACGGGACCGGTAGCTCCGCGGTATTTTATAGTCGGTAGATGGGAGGGTTCGATCGGGAATCCGGGATTCAGTCGGGAAGATACAAGACTAGAGACGCGCTTCACCTATTTCAGCTTTATTCTGTCGGGGATCGGCACGATCCGACCCCCCCGATACGGTACACTCCGCGAGACGCTCTCGCTAATTCGGAACTTGCTCCACGCCGCTAACTATTACGAGACTCAGTACGTTGGTGACACCGATACTATAAAGCAAGTGGACGGTCTTACAATTGCGTAGACCTCCCGGCGGCGTGAACTCTCAGTCTCCTTCCTTGGGGTCGCCCCTCCGAAATTCTGCCACCAGCGGTAATCCTCCGGCACAGGGAAATCCACCAACTCCGTCGTTCCACTGATTCCAACACTCCACCCCGGCACACGGTATCCTTTCTTACTTCGCTAAAGACTATCACCCGTCTCGTCCACGATAATGCTCTTTCTCTCGTCCTCGATAATCGACTCTCTGAGTAAACGGTAAGAAGAAGAAAATGAAACGGGAGTGTCCTCTTTTATTTCGTTGGTGTTTGTCGCGCTACCCGTCTTTCCCCGTTCTTCGTCGTATCTCCCGATACGGGAATCCTTCCGCGGATCTTTGTTTTCGATCCGCGGGACGGGTGCTTGGTCTCACTCTTGCTCGTTCTCTCTCTCCCTCTCTCGCACTCCCGCTGTCTCTTTGTCTAGACCGGCTTTGTCTAGCCGGCGTTCACGCTTCGAGCACGGGAACGCCGACCGTTTGGCGCGATATCCCTGCGGGCCTGTGGACAACGGAATCGGCAGCGAGAATCTTTCGCGACGATACCGAATTGGTAATAGTATTCTTAAAGAAGTGCATTCACCTGGGGTGGCGGTCTGGCCGAGGGGTGTCGTCCTCTTCCTTCCTCCGCTGATCCCTCCGGTCTTGATGGGCGGCGCAGAAGGTCCAGGGGCACAGAGCTCGGGGACGCGGGACCGTTCCACCTGCGCGCTCCTATCGCTAACACTAATTAATACGGGGGAGCGCAAGGCGGCGCTCCCCCCCGTAATTCTCGCGCGATGTACTGTACGCCCCCCCCGCACCCTCGCATAAGGGCCGAAGGTTCGCTCTGGGACGGGCGCCTTTCCGGCTGCCACGTCACAATATACTCCATTCTATATTACACATATATAATGTTTCTATAATATCTACACTTGTATATGTTTATAGCTTTACTGATATCTAATAAATAATATGTAATGATCAATATGATTTCTTTCTCCGTTTATGTAACATATTTAAATATTAATAGTAAATACATTGACATAAACATATTACTGTAAAAATCAATATAGTATAATAGTACGCATAATGATAAGACTCAAAACTAACTGTGTCATTGTAATAACAGTTTTATGGAGATGATTTTTTGTCATTAGCAGAAACTGGACAATTTTTCACAGTTGCATTATTCGGTTTCATACCAAAAACAGATTTGAATAAAATATCTTGTAATTGACGTGCAATTGAAAAAGACGACGAAGTGTTTTATTAATGAGAATAGAGTGGTCTTCTCTTCACATTTACTTTTAACTTCTGTATTCCGCTCTTCTTCATAAGAATTATTTAATATTATATAATTTTTAATGAAGACTTCCGGAAGTACCACGATAGATACATAAATTTATAAAAATGTTGTTTCGCGACGAGGAATATTACGTCGTAAGTTTTGTATTACAATAGTAATAAGATAATGCTATACAAGAAGAAAAAGTTTAGATAGAAAAAATCAATCATCGTTAAGAAGTCAGAGAAATCTATAGGTTCATTCCGAAGATTCCATTTCCTCATAATATATTCTGATATGTTTTGTTTAATATATGGAAGTAAATGTCTGAAATTTCGCGTATTAAGGCTTCCCATCATTTTTTATTATTAATAGCGACACTCGTTGAATATCATTACAAGAGAACATGCGGATATTTTAAAAAGAAGGCAGTCATAGCTGATCTATATCTGAGTAAACAAGTATTTAAAGTATTATCTGATGCTTCTCGCATCTTTTCAAATTCTGCTGTGTTCTAATTATTTGACAACTTGAATTTTTCTTCCTGATTTCTTTCGTATATGCGATTAAGCTTATATCATATTTTCTGTATTAAACAATTTGAACAAATCGATGAAAAAATATATTTATGCCAATGTGGTTTGCGTTGTTGACGTATGTTCTCACAAAAGGAACATGCGTACCGCTTGAACCGGTACGCAGAAATAACGAATAAACAAAGCAGAAATATAACAGAAATTCTGCAAGCTTATCGAGTAAATATTGCGAGATAACAACTTTAATTGTTTTAAACTCAAAATTTATTCTTTATGATTCAAAGATTAACGTGAAACCTGATTATTAATTGAAAGGCACCAATAATCAATAATAATTAAAGTGTAGTGTAATGTCTAAATTTTGCGGAGATATATATAGTTATTGAAGGGTATTGTGCAATCGATGAATTAGAGGAATATCGAGCACAACATATAGAGGAGGAATAAGCAAACGTTCGGTGATGCATGTATTGGAATTTACACTGTCAGTTCTCACAGTTGCTGGAGCTTGGCAACCGTTGTCATGTCGGACGTCGCTAATGAAAAACATATACAATGCCTACACAATTTTATTGACTACAGCGGTATTTATGTTTACCACGTCTCAATTCATGTATGTTATACTTAACGCCAACAATGTGGATGAAGTAACCGAAACGTTGTATATGACGTTAGCTGGATTGGTCGGAAATTTTAAAATAATCACAATAAATCTCAATCATCAGAGTTTCGCAACTATGCTCGGTAATCTATCAGAGAAACCTTTTAAACCGATGGAACAGAACGAGACAATAATACGAACGAAGTTTGAAAAAATGATTAAGTTAGTATAATATGGCATAAAAGAACTTAAAAAAATATTTTTATTATTTCGAAAATAATAAGACTTAGATGTTATACAGGGTAGAGCATTTTATTATTTTATTCAATACATGCTAATATCTTGAAAAAAAAGAAAGTTTTTCAAGAAAATGTTCCAGATAAAAGTCTTATGGTTTCGAAAAGGGAAGATGATGATATTATCAATTTGTCGATGATACCACTTTTTAGATTTCATCATGGTAGCCATTTTTTAAAATGGGAATTGGTTTTCTCTTCGAAATCAAACTTGCAGCTAACAATGAGACAAATACAACAGTTGCTTATTTTTAGAATAGGATTATTTTTTAATGAATTACAGCATTCCAAAATTTATAATTTAAGTAAAAAACTTCCATACAGTGTGCGTTTCGTACAAACTGTCCCTCCACTCTCTCTTTGTTTCTCTCTCTCTCTCTCTCTCTCTCTCTCTCTTCTCTCTCTTCTCTTCTCTCTCTCTCCTCCTCTCCTCTCTCTCACGCACGTATGTATGTGCGTGAACATTGCTCCTATCCATTATCTGAACTTATTCTGTTTAATAATACATACACATATGCACATGCGCACGTGTAGGAATACATGGTAAAGATTTAGCCTTACTTACCCCTCGCCGATGACTTTGACCTTGACATATTTTATTAAGGACACCTTCGTGAGTAACAATCAAAAGGTTTTAGCCGACGCTTATTGTTTATTAAAAAGTTATTAACAAAAGAAATTCCGTGAGTAGAACATAATTTTCAGCTATTATGTACATATTGAAGAAGATAAAAATAATCTAACAAATAAATTAACAGAAAAGAAAAAAACCCTAACCTAACTTATTTAATGAAATATTTTAAACCGCAGATTATAGTTTAGGTTAGGTTGGAGTTAGGTTTTTCGGTGTGGGGGTACGGGGGGAGGGGCAAAGCCCCCCCGCGCATATACGTGTACCGTTCACTATATTTCAATATACATATATAAGTTTCATAAATATAATACAAGTTTCATAAATTTTTCCATACAGTTAATCCAAACACAGTGTATATATAGAAATGTAGGAAACAGTACATATAAACGGCAGAGGGGCTTTGCCCCTTCCCCGCACCCCCTCCCCAAATAAGTCCTAACCTAATTTAACTTATTGCATCTTTATATGAAAAGATTCCTTTAAAACCTATAACACCTAATTGTATACAGATATAATAAGTTAAATTGGGTTCAGTGACAGATGTTAAGAGAACTTGTTCAACAATGTCCAAAAATATATAAAGATGCAATAAGTTAGGTTAGGTTAAGATTTATTTGGGAAAGGAGTGCGGGGGAGGGGCGAAGCCCCTTTCCCGCTTATATGTACTGTTTAACATTGTTTAATGTATAATTGTGTTTATGTACACAGTGTCGGAAAATTACATTCTATTTATGAAATTTCTTTTGTTAATTATTTTTTAATAAACAATGAGCGACGGCTAAGACCTTTTGATTGATACTCAGGGAGGTGTCCTTGATAAAATATGTCAAGGTCAAGATCATCGGCGGTAAGTAAGGGTAAGTAAGGGTAAGTAAGGGTAAATCTTTACCAAAAAATGGTCGCCATAATGAAATTTTTAAAGTGGCGTCACTTACAATTAAAGTGATAATATTATCATCTTTCCTCATTAAAACCATAAAACTTTTGTCTAAAATGTTTGTCTAAAATGTTTTTTTTAAGAAACTTTTCTTTTTAGAGATATTTCCATAAATTGAATAGAAGAGTCTATCTTGTATATTAAACAGTAAGTTTGACAAAAAACATGAAAAAAGAATAACAGGAAATAAAATAATTATATTCTTTTATAGGAAAAATAGTGTTTTCTATTTAATAATTATGACATCAGCTCTTTTATATATGACTTTGGCATCCTTACTTGTGGACTTTAGAAAAAGGGACTTAACATTCAAAGCATGGTTCCCATTTGATTATTCGGTTTCTGTGATATATTATTTTCTATATATTCATCAAATTATTAGTATGGCACTGTGCAGTTTTTTGAGTGTTGCCAGCGATTGCTTTATCTCTGGACTACTACTCCACATTTCCTGTCAGATCGAGATCTTAGAGTATCGTTTGTCACAGTTCGCAAATAATCAAGCTAAACTAAGCGAATGCGTGTCTTACCATTACCGCATATTTGAGTAAGTTTCCTAGATACATAAATTAATTTTAAATACGCAACGGTATTTTATAACCGTAGATTTGCTGATATGTTGAACGATAAATTGGTAATTGTCATCGGTAGTCAATTCATAGGGTCTTGTTTGGTGATGTGCTGCCTTCTTTTTCGTATAACAGTATCAAAGTCTACCTCTATGTATATGGAAACGATAATGTGTATGGCTTGTGTGTTAATGGCTATATTCTATTATTGTTGGTTCGGAAACGAAGTCAGATTGAAGGTAATTTTGCGGCTGTGGCTGGCGTGAAAAAAGAAAATCTAACGTGATTTAACGTTTCGCTACATTTTTGTCTATAGAGTCTGGAGTTGTCGGAAAGTATCTACAAAATGAAGTGGCCAGATCTCAATAATGACGTGAAGAAATGTTTCTTGATTATTATGAACCGTGCCACCTCGTTACCCATTAAATTTACTAGTGCACGTATTGTCCCTTTGAATCTCGAGTCTTTCGTGGTGGTCAGTAAAACGTATTGATTGGACATTTATTGATCAATTCGACAAACTTATTTGCAACAAATAAATTAACTCGATATAACGATTGTTTCAGGTGCTTAAGATGTCATATTCAGTTTTCAATCTAATGCGACAAACGCAAGAAGAACATTAGAAAGGAATAATCTGCACAACTTGATATTGACTGCACAACTGAAAACTTTATATTTGAATAGAGAAGTAACAATTTATTAAAATTACTTTTATTGAGTTACTTCTGTAACTATGTAGAACGGAAATATGAAATATTCACTAAAGTGAGACAAATAGAATTAACCATACAGATTGAAATACTAATTGTATCGTAAATGTAGCTTGTAAAAGCTGTGGGTTATGCATAAATATGACTCGAATGGTGAATATTCCTATTTTAATCGTACACTAGTAGAGCTGTAAACAAAAGAATCACGGTAAACATTTCAAGCGCTTTGTCATTCTTATACGTACTTTGTCACCTTATTTTGTTTGCATCTGACAAGGAGATGGCAAGACATGTAAAATCGATAATTGAATGATTCCTATTTCATTCGAATGGAAGGGTTGAATACATAAAAATCCTAAAAGGGTTCGCGTGCATGGGCCTCCGCTTGCGATAAATTTGCAATTAAAAAAACAGCTACATGTTAAGTATAGTAACTTGGAATCAATAAGCGTGAAGCGCAAATAGCTGCAGAAGCTAAAACGCGCGCAGTAATTTGTCGTCTAAGAGGAGTGTTCGAGTCTTTGCAGTGCCAACTTTTTTTTATTTATAATATTATTACTATATGTATTGCTATATTTTATAATATTTCTATAATATTTTCAATATTTTTATTATTTTTATAAGACAAAAGTATAATGCACACATACAGAGTAATATCTGTGTTATTATACAGGGTGTTATAAAAGTCCAGGAAGAGCAGAATAACTCGAAAAATATGAGTCCTAGAAAAAATGCGAAGTACTGGGATTCTATGATGTTTTCCTAGCTATCTGACGGTGACCTTGGATTTGACCTTGCCAATGACCTTAAAGGTCATTTCAAGGTCAGGTCAATTTTTTTTAATGGGACCTCATACTTTTGACCCCAGAAATGAAAAGAGCGGAAAATCTTACGTTCGTATATGACCATGAACACTGCCAAATTTAACCTCTGAAGGTCACATAAAGGTCTAAGCTTGTTTTAGGCTGAAAACGCGAATATCTTCGAAAATGCATCTGCTAGGGAGCAATGTTACGCATAAGAATAAGAATGTAGAAGTCAACGAGGGACATTCAGCCGTGTCCTTGCCCTTATTCTCAAGGTCATGAGTTAAGATTATTATTAAGGTCAAACCGGATTTTTTTAGGACTGAAAATCCATACTTTTGACCTAAAAGTGTCAAGATTGAAAAATTTTACGTTCGGATATGACGTTTTCAACCTTGACCTTGTTCTTAAGGTTATGTGTCAGTCATATCAAGGTCAATTAATGTTTTTAGGCTGGAAACACATACTTTTACCCCCCCCATAATGTGAAGAGTGAGATTTTACGTTACGTACGAGGTCACAGTCCGATTGTTGGTAATTCCTCAATATCGGACGCCATTTTGAATCGGTCATCTTGAATTTGTAAAATCCAACGTCGGATTCGATTTCAGAAACTACTACAAAAACTCCTTAAACGAGATCCAATTTTTGTTATTCTTAAATATCGGCCGTTATTTTGAATCGGCCATCTTGAATTTGCAAAATCCGACGTTGGATTTGGTTTTAGCGAGCTTGATAATCCCAGAATCGGTATCCGAAAAATTTATTCGCCATCGATAAAGTGTATGCTTCAAGGTTTTTATTTGTCTCGATTCTATCAGTGTCAAACAGATAATAGATTGTTTTTGAGTTTTCATCGATTTAACAAGTTTTGATGTCATTCTAGTCCGTTTTGAATTATTATCATATTATTATTAACGATCAATGGTACATTACTTTTTTTTGTCACGCAGGGGAAATCCATCATGGGATACCCCCGCCCTTTGGGAGTGCGGGGGTTATGTTGGACTCCTACCGACTGAAACCCCTGCGGGATGTCTACCTGGCGGACCGGTGAGAGGGGAGTCAGGGTAGCTACTCCCGTATTCCCTCCCCAACCCCCCGGCCCTAGGGCTCCAAACCGTGAGCCCCTCGCCCCTGTTCCGCGCCCCCCCTTCTTCGTTCCGGGGAGATTAGTGGGAAGGCGCGGTTCCCGACGGGTTGCCCTGCCGGTTGGCCTTCTGGGAAGAGAGGGGACACCCACCCTCCCTCCTTATCCCCCTCCGTTTATCGGAGGGGGAGGATTTTGGGTGAGTGGCCCCAGCCCCACTGTGATGCCACTCCCCCCTTTCCCTACCTGTCCGATCGCTCGGGGGGCCAGGGATTCCCTCCCTACTCCCCCCCCCCGCGGCCGGTGACGTGCCCGAGGCGGCCGAGGGAGTTCCCCACCCCTGTGGGCGGGTGCCCTCTCCTCGTCCGACGCTACCTCGGGTCCGCTGGCGAACTCTAACCCCCGGAACGTCGACTCAGGCGTCGCCTCCCGCGACGCCTTCCCGGCCGACGCCCCCACTCTGCGGTCTCCTTCTAGAACATTACTGTCCTACAGAAGGAGACCGCCGCTGACCACGCCTCCTCGCTCCCGCACATAGCTTTCACCATGTGCGGGAGCGAGAGCTCTTCCCCGTGGCATCCTACCGCCCTGGCGAGGACACGGCGCTCCGCGGCCCATGCTGGGCACGTGGTCAGGGTGTGGTGCGCCGTGTCCTCGAGCACAGGGCAGTGGTGGCACCGGGTGGTGGGCTCCTTCCTTATCCGGTGCAGGTACCTACCGAAGCATCCGTGCCCCGTCAGTATCTGCACCACGTAGAAGGACATTCCACATCCCCTCCTGTCTGTCAGTTCAGACAGACAGGGGCGGACAGCCTCGGTCGTCGCGAGCCCGGGTCCCAGGGGGTCGGACAAAATGTCCCTCCACCTCTTCTGGGTCCGGGCTCTGGCCTGGAGATTCAGGGCCGCCAGGCCCCTAGCCTTGAGTTTCCCCTCCTCGCGGAGCTCCCTCACTCTTCAGAAGAGGATGCGCCTCTCCTCAGCGAGGAGCTCCATGGGAGGGACACCGTCCAGGGTGGTGGCCGCCATGTACGACACGGTTCGACATCCTCGAATCGCCCTGATTAACACGGGCCTCAAGGCCTGCCGCAACACGCGTTTTCCGCTGCGGCAGCCCAGGAGCTGTAACGCCCAAATGGGCGCTCCATACAGGGCAATAGAGAGCACCGCCGTGACATACAGGCGACGTGCCCTCCAGCCTGGGCCCCCTTGGGCGCGCATCAGACTGACCACGGCCAGTCCGGCCTTGCGCACCCTGGGGGCCAACTGCCTGAAGTGCGGCCCAAACCTCCACCGGCTGTCCAACGTCAGGCCGAGATATTTCATCATCGGCCCGACGCGGATGTGGACGTCATCAATCAGGACCCGTGTCTCCGGCGGCGCCCCCCGACTGCCGTCGTGAAAATATACGGCCGCAGTCTTCTAGAGCGTCACCTTGAGACCCAGGTCCCTGATGTTTCCCATCACCGATGCCAGCGCCGCCTCCGCGCGGAGGCAGGCCTCCCCCCAGCTCTCCCTCCTGGCCGCCACTAAAGTGTCATCCGCGTAGCAGATGACGTGGCAGCCCGGAAGGAGCGGAGTTCGCAGCACCCGGTCGAACGCGATGTCCCATAGCAGCGGGCCAAGAACCGACCCCTGCAAGACACCACGCTCCATTGCGCCCCGGCCCTGGACCCCACCCTCCACCGGGAAGGCGAGGTCCCTGCCCTCGAAGTAGGCCGACAGGATCCACCGGAGATAGACGGACACCCCGTGATGCACAAGGGACCGTCCGATCTCCGGCCAGGGCAGGGTGTTGAAGGTGTTAGTTATGTCGAGCGATACCGCCAACAACATCCCGCCCTCCCCCTCCACGACTCTTCGGGTCAGGTCCCGGAGACACTGGATGGCGTCCAGCGTCGATCTTCCGGGCCTAAACCCGAACTGGTGGTCGTGGAGGTTCGGCCCCTCCGAGGACAGATGCTGGACGAGGCGATCGGTAATGTTGCGTTCAAGCACCTTACCCGCCTCGTCCAGCAGGCATATCGGCCTGTAGGCCGACGCACTCCCGGGTGCCTTGCCCTCCTTGGGGAGGAGGACCAATCTGGCCCTCCTCCACTCTAGGGGAAGACCCCCTCCCTGAGGCACCCACTCATCACCCTGCGCGTGGCCGCGTATAGGTTTCCCTCGTCGAGGGCGAGGGCCCAGGCCCGACCAGGGATCCCGTCGGGGCCAGGGGCTTTTCCCTCGGTCCCGAGCCTCCCCCTGGCCCTGGCAAGCTCTTCTGGACTCACCTCCAGACCTTCGTCCCAATCCCCCTCCCCAATTCGGGGGTGGGAATTTCACGAGAGCCCCCTTCAGCTCTCGGGAAGAGGGATTCCAGGAACCCCTCGAGGGTCTGGAGGCTTAACGTCTCCCTCGGCGGGGGCGCCCAGGGACGGATTTTACCCATCGTCCTCTTGTATGGACGCCCACTGATCGTCGTCCAGGGAACTCACCAGTTGTTCCCAGGTCACTCGTTTCGCCTCGACGATGGCGGCTTTGAGGGCTTTCCTCGCGCAAAGGTAGCCCTCTTTTGTCCCTGCGACATCCCCGCCTCGTCGCCGGGCCCGATCGTACGACCTTCTGGCTCTGACGGAGGAGTCGCGGAGGTCCGCCAACTCCTCCGTCCACCAGTACGTGGCCCGGCGCCGGCGGGGGTGGGATCGGGGCATCGCAGCGTTGCACGCCGACGCCACGATGCCCACCATCTCCCCGGTCCCCGCGAGGGGGCCAGGATCCCACTCACCTGGCTCCTTACCTAGGTGCCAAGTGGTCACGAGGACAGCCGCCCGAAACATATCTGCGTCTAATCGACCGAGGGCCCATCTTTTGGGGAGGGGAAAGTCCTCCTCCCCTGGGCAGCGGGCCAGCATCTGTGGGGACTTGGGGAGGCGGAGGGACCACACTATATGTCTATGATCAGACAGTGATTCACCCTCCGCCTCCACCTTCCAGTCCTGGAGCATCCCGGCGGCCGAGGGGGTAGCCCATGTCAAATCAATGACCGACTCCCCCCTCGGCCGCACACAGGTGCTGGTTGAGCCCTTGTTCATCAACAATAGGACCAACCTCGCCGCCCAGCTGATCACGGCCTCGCCCCGAGTGTCCCCCTGCCGGGGACTGCAACGCCACGCTTCCGAGTGGGCGTTGAAGTCCCCGGCGATTACGATAGGCCGAGGATGGCACTTTTGCGCCAGTTCCCCGACCCTGTCGAGGGTCGGGGAACTGGCGCGAAAGTGCCATCC